AAGGTTTTCCTTGTTATAAAGTTTAAGCCCTAGTAATTAATGGAAACTTTATCATTATACTCCATATATATTACAGCCCAAGATATATTATTATAAAATCACCTAAATGACCTTCCTGACGTCTATTTAATATCGTCTAGTTTTGGCACGCAGCTTTACTCGTGTATTATAATAGTAAAGTAGAATATTTTAGTTTCAGTGTTCTTAAAATCTGTTAATAATTTCTTCTTTTTAACCCCTGACACTAAAATAGGGATGTGTCTGTCTGTGGCATCGTAGCTCTCGAACGCATGGACCGATTTTAATTCGGTTTTTTTTATTTGAAAGCCATTTTGCTTGTGGTGGTTCTTAGTTATGTTTGGTTAATATCGGTCTAGCAGTATAAGAGTATCAGCCTCTTTTCCAAAATGATGTAAGGCATTTTGGCGTATGATTACTCGATTAAGTGCTTCACGCGTGCCAGTGTAATCGTTAAATGACAATTAATTTGCGTATGGGGTTTTTTAAATTTTTAATTTATAACTAGCATTGCCGCGGCTCCGCCCGCTTTGAGATGACCAAAAACCAAATTCTTAGGTTTTACATATGAGTACATTCTTACATTGCAGTTTTTGTATTTTTTCTCAGAAATGAGACATTTTCCCCCAGTAAAAAGTATCCTATAGGTTGACCTGGATAATCAGCTATCACCATACCAAATTTCATCAAAATCCCTCCAGTGGTTTTTCTGTGATGCTGTAGCAGACAGACAGACAGACAGACAAAAATTCTAAAAACTATAGACTCGGCCTCTGTGTCAATAATAATGTTTATTTCAATAAGATTTTCCGAAAAATATTTAATGTACAGATTCGGTTTTGTTACAATTTTATTATATGTATAGATTATTGTATCTTATATTCTGAAAACCTTTTTCTGAAAGTACAATAAATAAAACAAAACATTACTTTCCTTTTAAGGCAGTTAAGTCAAAAAGTAAATCTTGGCATTATATAGAAATGTTATGTTTGGTTCTACACCGCAAATGCTAAAAGTTGAATGGTACATTTGATCCTTGAAGTTTCCTGTGGGAGTCGTCGAGCCGTGAAAACCTTTTGATGTGCTTTCACAATCGTGCACTCTAGTGAAATTTAAAATATTATAATATTTCGTCTTCATGATGCAAACTTTAAGTTAAACTGCACAAGTTTAGAGCTAAAATGAATAGTAATTTTACGAGTTTTAGCTCCTCTTGTAGGTACTGACATTATTCATTTGATTTAAAAGACTCAAAGAATAAGACATGTTTAAGATATTTCTAACAATCGAGAATTTAATGGAAATGACCCTTACTTCGAATATATTTAGCACTAGCGATTCATCCTCACTTCGCTCGGGTACCCCCCAGGTGATTCTTTAAATTGTCATATTTTTATTTATTTTAATGAAACTTACTACATATACATTAGTAAAAACCGCACTCAAATCGGTCAAGCTGTTTCTGAGATTAGTGTGCACAAGCGCACAGACAAACAGACAAATTTTTTAAAAATCATTGCGTTAATAAAGACTCTCAATAATAGTTTTTCTCAAATATCTTCCATGTACAGACAGCGATCAATTGCAATTTTATTATATGTATAGATATAGATAGTATAGATGACTATTAAAAAAAATAGTTCTTACTTAAGTTTCTTATCTTCTTTCACATATTTTAATTGATTCAAAAATGTTCATAAAAGTGTTATGTAAAAAGCATATTTGAATTCCAGATGTGCTACTTTCGGAAATGCAAATAGCGAAGTAACAATTTTTTCACTGAAAATCTTAAAACAAAAGATACTCGTACATCGCAATGCTCATAGCATTTCGTATGATGAAAGTGGGTGGGTCTTGATCTTCAGAAAATAAAGGTCAGTGAAAAGGTCACATCTATTTTTGATATGCACTATGCATATTGCGCCTAACATAAAACATATATTAAGCCATTAAGTTCTTTTTTTGGACGTTGCAGGAACTTTAATAGGATTATAATACAGTAGAAAATATATTACTTTTACTATCAATAAACTAATAAATAAAAAACTGAATTGCCAATCATATTAGCACCTTCGGGTAAATTTCTAAAAATTAATTAAAATTCTAAGAAATCTATCGTTAACTGACACGCCTGATTAAAGCGAATAGTCATAAATAATAAATTAATATTTATCAAATAAACTATCCAAAACATATTAAAATGAAATATATTCTTCTAAATTTCCTTACAAAACTAAACTTAAGCCCTTTCTTGAGCCTTTACAGCGTTGAGACGTAACACTCACTCACTCCTACAAAATTAGTGAGATTACTGTTATATGAAGATGCATCTACGAGTATGTTTTGGTGTTGAGAGTGCACTCTACGAGCATAAAATATAGATCGTAGCACTTAGAATTCTGCTTATTATATTAATAACCATTAAATAATGCATGAATTTCATACATTAAATTAACAAAACATATGTGAAATAATTCTAGGTCTTAAAGACCTCAGATTTAAATCATAACAATAAAAAAATGTATACACTCAATTAAAATTTAAGAAAAATTACTTCATTTGCTAGAGAGAAAATTAGCATTTTCGCAACGTAACTTGACGATGTTTAAAACAAAGGGGTCAGTCAGAATCTATTATGTCATGTGTTGCTTCACTACTTCAGTTAAATGTATCCAGGGTAGATTAACGTTATCTAGAGTCATGTGGCTTCTGATGGGTTAAGCTTCAGGTGGCAATTGCTTTGTGTAACACTGAGATACGGAATCTCTGGAATTTTATACTAGCTATTGATGTTAAGGTTTATGTTTATAAGACATTTTAGTAAAAAAAACTAACTTAAGAATTTATAAAATTACATTTTTTAGATATATATTCTGAAAAGGGCTTACGTATGAGTAAATATTTGGGTAACATTCTTTATAATTCAACACTTGCTTTTGAAGTTTGTTGCTTTATTTTAAACTATACAAAGAAAAAAGCAGTTGGTGCATAACTTAAATCGCACTAATTAAATATAATATGTCGTGTACATAACTACATAGAGAGTTCATTGATATTACAACGCTTGAGGTAACGTATTATTTTAAATATTAAACTTGTATGATTTTTACTCTAAGTTATTGTATTTGAAATCTTTTGTTTATAGCATTTTTTTTTTTCAGTTTGTGGCAGGTTAAAAAGACTGTTATGCTCGTATAATTTGAATAAATTATGAAATACAATATAGAAAAGGCAGATCGATGTCTCAATAATGTAAACTAATATATGTATAATCAATCTATTCATACTCGTATAATAAAATTGTAACTAAGCCGATTCTGTACATTAAATATTTTTTGGAAAATCTTATTGAAATAAACATTATTATCGATACAGAGACCAAATCTATAGTTTTTTAGAATTTTTGTCTGTCTGTCTGTCTGTTACCGCGTCACAGAAAAATCACTGGAGGAATTTTGATAAAATTTGGTATGGTGATAACTGATTATCCGGGTCAACATATAGGATACTTCTTACCGCGGGAAAATATCTCATTTCTGAGAGAAAATACAAAAACTGCATTGTAAGAGTATACTAATAATTATGTAAAACTTAAGAATTCGGTTTTTGGTCATCTGAACGCGGCCGGAGCTGCAGTCAATGCTAGTAAATAATAATAGTTATATCATTAGAATACAATGCATTGGTAGCCCAGGAGTAACGTGCTCGCGTAGGAAATCGAGTAAAGCTGGTTCAAATTCCATTCACACATGATCACCACTTGTCTTACGGTAAAGGAAAACATCGTGAGGAGACCTGCATGTCTGAAAGAACCTAGCAAGTATCGAATGACATGTGAAGTCCGTCAACCCGCACTTCACCAGCGTGATGGACTATGGCCTGATCCCCTCGTAGTAAAGGAAGGTATGGACCTGGGCTCGGGTCCAGCAACATTATAAAGGGCTATACATTAGAATGCAGCGTTTCTTATTATTATTTTATTTTTAATTTTATTTAATTATTTATTTCAGGTAATATTTACAAAAAGATCTTAAATATCTAAACAGAGAACCATAACATATATACCTTAAAAATTAACATATATATAAAAAATGACCATAATATTAGGGCATCATTTAGTCTAGATCTTTCTTTTGTCATACTATGTATTATTGTTAGAATGTACGTTCTGTTAGCGACTTACGTAATAAATAAATAAATAAATAAATATATATATGTAAATATAATCTCTGCTATATTTAAAACAATTCACCCATAAAAAATCGATATTTCAACATCAGGAGCTTTTAATCCATCATACTAATTAAAAGCTAAATGGCAACGAAACCGTACTTTGCTGCATTCCGATTAAATCTAAACATTTAGTCGGGCATACTTCTATACAAGCATAGCGTACTGGAAGTGCTAGTGATTTTTAATTTTTATTATTGTTTTTATTATCTACTTATTATTATATAGGATTATTATAATTATTTTTATTAAAAAGATGACATTTTTCATTTTACGATATAGCACAAATTGGGAACTACACAACACACACACACACTTTCTTATTTATAATATGTATATTAATAAGAATGCTTAGATAAAGCGTCTATTATTATATTTTTGTAGATAATTATTGTGCAATAATAATAATAATAATAATAATAATAAGCCCCCCAAAATCCTACCTTACGTCCTAGCTGAACATCTTGCTACGTGGGGGGCGGTAACGTGTACAAATGAAACTTACACGGCTAACAAGGTAAAGGTAACCCATCGATATGGAGAGTGATAATAATGATAATCGTATAGGGCCGCTTCCCGGGGGTGATCGCCGGGGCACGTCTGGAGCTGGCGCTGGACGTCACAGCATGCGATCCGTCAGCGGCCGTCAGTTACATAGGCAGGCTGCGGTCAACAAAGATGCTACTGCCTACACTACCATAGATACACAACCGACAACAAGTACAAACCCGACTAGTAGTGTTTTGCAGGACATGATGCCCGCAACCACCCTAGGAGGCCGAAATAGACAACGGATGAAGTGGACTGACGAAATAAATATCGAGTTACTCCGTTGCTATTACACCGTCACTAACTTGGAGACCAATCTTACCGCATACAGACCATTACTACACCGAATGTTTGTCCAAAAGTACCCAAAATTAAATTTCATTACGGAACAACGACTATCAGATCAAATACGAGTCATACACAGAAACAATAGAATACCTGCAACAGCAAGAGAAAAAATAAAGAAAACCATTGAAGAAATAATCAATAGGGAAAATAACGAACACAGTGAAAACACAACGCAAAATACATTATTTACAAATATACAAGACAATAATACAACAGAAGAAGAGACAAATACCGATACACAGACAGCAATGGCTCACTTATACACACAGTACACACAAAACAGTAATGATACAGAGACTCTTATTACAGAACATCAAATTACACTATCACAACAGATGAATATAGAAAATGAAAACCACACACAACTTGAGTACGAAAAAATATATACAACATTTACAGAACTGTTAATAAAATTTAAAGGAACCGACCCAACACTCAGACCACATATCCCAAAATTACAAACATGTCGAAAAACTATTAAAACGGTAAATACTATCAACCAAATCATTAAAGCATACCTACAAAATAATGACGATACGACAATCGAAAATTTACATGATATAATATACTGTGCAGCTAAAACAGTCACAACACTACACATAGAAAAAAACAACCTAAATAAGAAAAATATTAAAAGAACCGAAACTACTGAGAACAAACCAGCATGGCAAAAACGTATAGAAACAAAAATTGCAAAACTACGTAAGGAAATAGGACAATTAACACAACATCTCAACGGAAAATTATCACAAAAGAAACAAGAAAAAATAAAAGTTAATGGGAAAGATAGGAACGAAGTAGTTGAAGAATTAGACAAAAATAAACAGAAACTTGCAGCTCAATCAAAACGACTGCGCCGATATAAATTAAGTAATCTACGTAAATTACAAAACAGAAATTTCAATTATAATGAAAAATTATTCTACCGTAACCTACACAAAACACACACAATAACTCAGCCACCTGATATGACACAAGTACAAAAATTCTGGGAAGATAGATGGGGAAACTGTGTATACCATAATCAGAACGCGAAATGGATAGAATTAGAGGAAAATAGAGTTAAAAATATAGAAAACATGACACAATTTAAAAATAGAGAAAAGCGATATAGAAACAGCTATACGAAAAACACTGAACTGGAAGGCACCGGGCCCAGACAAAATACAAAACTACTGGATTAAATATTTTACATCAACACATGCATATTTGGCTAAGGCACTCAACACACTCATACAAGAACCACAAAATATACCAACATTTCTATTACAAGGAATTACATATCTAAAACCGAAAGACGCAGACACAACCAATCCCGCCAAATATAGACCCATAACATGTTTACCCACGATATACAAACTTCTTACATCCATCATCGCTCACAAACTCAACATACATATCACGCAAAACAAAATAATCCCCGAAGAACAAAAAGGCTGCTCCAAAGGCTCGAAAGGATGCAAAGAACAGCTTGTAATAGATACAGAAATACACAACCAAGTAAAACAAAAACACAGAAACCTTTTTTATGCCTATATAGATTATGAAAAAGCCTTTGACAGCGTACCACACTCCTGGTTAATACATATCTTAAAATTATATAAAATTATACAAAGTAGACGATATTTTAATACATTTCTTAGAAAACATGATGAAAAAATGGACGACCACATTGGCACTACGCACTGAAAAAGACAATCTTACAACAACACCAATTAAAATTGCTCGCGGTATATTCCAGGGAGATTCCCTAAGCCCCTTATGGTTCTGCCTTGCAATAAATCCTTTGTCTAGCATATTAAATAGTACCGAATACGGATATACAATAGATAGAGAAGCTAAAGTTAAAATCACACATCTGTTATATATGGACGATACAAAACTATATGCATCAAACAGGAACCAACTTAACCATTTATTAAAACAAACAGAACAATTTAGCAATGATATAAAAATGAATTATGGAACTGACAAATGTAAAATCAACAGCATATCAAAAGGACAGCACAAGAAAACAGAAACATACAATCTAACACTACAGGAAGGCGCTATAAGCACTATGGATTCAAAAGAAATATACAAATATTTAGGATACCAGCAAAGCACCTGCTTAAATCATACAGACATAAAACAAGCCCTTAAAACAAAATACAGTCAAAGACTCAATACAATACTCAAAACCCATTTATCCGCTCGAAACAAAACCAAGGCCATCAACACATACGCAGTCCCCATACTTATGTACTCTTTCGGAATTATTAAGTGGACCGACACAGACCTAAATGCCCTAAACACAATGACACGTTCTCAAGCAAACAAACATAACATTCATCACATTCACACATCAACTGAAAGATTCACACTACAAAGAAAACATGGTGGTCGCGGGTTTATCGACATTAAAAATTTACATTATACCCAAATAGAAAACTTGCGTTCATATTTTCTTAGCAAAGCCAATAACAGCAAACTACACAAAGCTATTACTACACTGACCACAGCTGGTACCCCCCTCCAGTTCAATGACAGAGACTATGAACCTGAAACCAAGATAATAACAGAGCAAAAAAAAGTAGAAGATTGGAAGAAAAAAGCACTACACGGTAAATACCCCCACCAACTCGAACAGACTCACATAGACAAGGAAGCTTCAAATACGTGGCTTACAAAAGGTAACATATTTGCCGAAACAGAAGGTTTCTTTATAGCTATCCAAGACCAAATTATTAAAACCAGAAACTACTCTAAGTACATAATTAAAGAATCGATAGAGACAGATTTATGTAGGTTATGCCATCAAAACAAGGAAACAATAGATCACATAACAGGAGCCTGCAAGATATTAGCTACAAAAGAATATATCAAAAGACATGACAACGTTGCGAAACAGATACACCAAAGCTTAGCATTGAATCATAAACTAATTAGTACATACACGCCTTACTACAAATATATACCCACCAATGTCCTTGAAAATGAAACAGTCAAACTATATTGGAATGTAGATATAATAACAGACAAAACAATAGCATGCAACAGACCTGATATCACACTTACATTAAAATCCTCAAAGACCACTTACCTCATCGACATATCCATACCTAACACCGAAAATCTGAAAACCAAGCATCAAGAAAAGATCCAAAAATATATTCCACTTGCAGACGAAATTAAAGATATGTGGCATCAAAGCTCAATAAAGATAGTACCTATAATTCTTTCATCCACAGGTGTAGTACCCAAAACTCTACATAAATCTATAGAATTGTTAGAATTACACAAATCAACATATATTAAGTTACAAAAGTCAATAGTTCTAGACACATGCTCGATAGTACGTCGATTCCTAAACCCCTCATCATTATCCCCATAGGGCCCCCGAAAGACTTGGCAGATGCCCGTCTTTGGAAGCCAAATACCAACGAAAGTTGAGACAATATACATATATAATAATAATAATAATAATAGCCTTTATTAACAATCTTATAAGGTACATTTCATCTTATTACTACTTAATATTAAACAGAAATTTTTATTTGTAAAAGTATATATAAAGAGTTTTTTTTTTCTTAGACACCGGTTTCTTGATTGTCTTGCTTTCCAGCATAGGCCTCCCCAAGTTTTCTCCACAACGATCTATCCCTTGCTTTCCTCATCCAAAATGTTCCTGCCACCTCCTTGATATCGTCTTCCCATCTTCGAAATTGTCTACCTCTACTTCTCTTTTTATATCTAGGACACCACTCTGTTACTTCTTTAGCCCACTTTTCGGTTTTATTTCTTATTAGATGCCCTGACCATTTCCATTTCAGGTGTTTTATTTGGTATTTTATATCCATAACCTTAGTTTGTTTCCTTATAGTTTTTAACCGTATTTTATCTTTTAATTTTATGTTGAGTATGCTTCTTTCCATTCTATGTTGACACGTTTCTAATGATTTGATGTTTTTCTTTGTACAACTCCATGTCTGGCATCCGTAGGTCATGCTTGGTAGAATGCATGTATTAAATATTTTCTTTTTTCCTTCCATTGGTATATCTGGGTTTTTCATGACATCTTTTAGAGCCCAATATCTTTTCCATCCTATGTTTATTCTATTGTTGATTTCTTTTGTTGTGAGGTCTATAGGAGATATTATTTGGCCCAAGTATGTATACTCTTTGACATATTCCAGTTCTGTAATGTTGTTGCATTTGATTGGTATTTCATCAGAATTTGTCATTACTTTAGTTTTACTACTGTTCATCGATAATCCCACTTTTTCGCTTTCGAGTACTAATTGTTCAATCATAACCTGTAGGGTCTTTGGATCTCCACATATTAGGATCAGGTCATCGGCGAATCTTAGATGGTTTAGTAAAACTCCATTTACATTTAAGCCATATTCATTCCATTCAAGTTGTCGAAATACATGTTCTAGAGTTGCCAAGAAAAGTTTGGGTGACAAAGGGTCTCCTTGTCGAACTCCTCGTCTGATAGGGAAATATGTGCCTATCTTTTCTGTGCGTATTTTAGCTTTCATATTTCCATATACAGTTTTTATTATGCGAATATATTTGTTGTGAACCCCTTGTGATGTAAGGGCATCCCAAATTTTCTCATGTTTAAGCGAGTCGAACGCTTTATTGTAGTCAATGAATGCTAAGTAATATTTTATTCCATATTCATTGCATTTCTGGATAATTTGTTTGATGGTATGAATATGGTCGATGGTTGAGAAGCCACTTCGAAACCCTGCCTGTTCTTTTGGTTGATTTTCGTCTAAGGTCTTTGTTACACGTTCTAGTATTATCTTGGAAAATTTTTTGTATATATTAGACATTAGTGAGATAGGTCTGTAATTCGAAATATCATCTTTCCTTCCTTTCTTGTGAAGTAAAATTATGGTGGAAGTAGTCCATTGGTGAGGTATAAGTTCAGTTGTTATAATTTGGTTAAAGAGGTCAGTCAATGTGTTAGCAATAATTTCAGATACACCAATTAAAAGTTCATTGGAAATGTTGTCTTCTCCTGATGCTTTCCCTCTCTTCTGTGATTTTATAGCTTTGACAATTTCGTCTTTGAGTATGTTTGGTACTGCTTCTTCTTCTGGAGTTATAGCTGTCTTGTCACTAGTGATTGGTGTGATTTGGTCATAGCAATACAGATTACGATAGAAATCGGTCGCTGCATCTAGTATTTCATTTCTTTTAGATTTATGTTTTTTAGTTTTGTGGTGTGTTACGTTAATTATCCATTTTGTGTATTCTTGAAGTTCCTTTATCGCACTCTTGATTCCGCCTGATTTTGTAATGTGCAATTTTGTCGATTCTGTTCTCAGTGTATGTCTGTACTTCTTGATTTTTAAATTTATTTCTTTGCTTAGTTTAGTTATTTTTTGTTTATTGTTTTTCCTGTTTTTAAATAAGAGTGCTCTTTGGTTTATTAATTTTCTTGCTTCAGGTCCTAATCTGTCCTTTAGTTCCGATTTGTTATACTTTTCTATATTTTTATTAGTTTCATTTAATATTTTTTCTAAGGTATCGTATTTTTCCTGGACTGATCTACATTTATTTATTTGTGTTAACTTTGTTTTTAAAGATTCTAAGACTTGACTTGGCAGTGGTAATGTAATTGTTTCTTTTTTATTTTGTATATATTTTCTAGATTTCTTTGGCTCAAGTGTGTGTAAGTGACCTCGGAGTAATCTGTGATCGGTAAAATAGTTGAAGTTATTAAGAACTTTAACGTTTAAGAAAAGCTTTGGTTTATTCGTGATAATAAAATCTATCTCATTTCTTATTTGTCCGTTAGGAGATTCCCAAGTCCATTTTCTTTTAAGTTTTCTTTTATATTTTATTGTGCAAAGTTATCACTAAATATTCCTACACAAACTTTTTGTTATGTTTTTAATCGTGTGTTAAAGAATGGAATGGAGATAAAAGTATGAATGAAAATCCTGTTAATAGTAAATAGTATGATTATATATTATATACTAGGGGTGCACACTTGCTTCGCTCGGGTTCGCCTCTAGACAAACAAAAACAAATCTATCCCACGGGAACCTATTTGTTATTCTGATGTATGAACTATATTATTGTAAAGAATAATTAAAAACCCATCAGTAGTTTTTGTGTACTAAGCTGTATCAGTTACTATAGTTTTTTAACTATCCCACGAGAACACTTTAATTTTCCGGGA